CTGTACCCCTCTCCCTCCTCTGTACCCCCTCTCCCTCCCTCACCCTCTCCCTCTCCCTCCCTCCCTCCCTCCCCTCTTCTCCTCCTCCTGTCTCCCTCCTCTACCTCCTCTCTCTCCCCCTCCACCCTCTCCCTCCCTCCCTCTACCCCCTCTCCCTCCCTCCATCCCTGTCACCCTCTACCCCTCTCTCTCTCTCTCTCCCTCCCTCCCTCCCTCTACCCCCTCTCCCTCCCTCCCTTCATCGTGCGCCGCGGATCTCACGCCTCCCTTCCCCGCAATGACAACACCGCCGTCTGCTCCCGTGACACCGCATCACTCACGGGATGACGTTGACACCACTAAACCCGCTGACAACAACTCGCTCTCGAGGGGTTGTGGGGTTGGTGCGGGTGGATGGGAGGCGCGGGTGGAGGGTGCGGGTGTGGCGGGGTTAGGAGGGAGGGGTATTAAGGGTGAAGAAGGGCGGAAGGGGGGAGGGACGGAGAAGGGGGTTGAGGAGGGTAGGATGAAAGGGGTGGGAGGGGGAGGGAAGGAGGAGAGGTAGGGAGGTAAGTGGAGGTTGTGGGGGAAAGGGGGGAGGGGTTAGTGGAAAGCTAAATAGGAGGGAGAGAGGGCGGGAACGAAAAGAAGAGGGAGAGTGGGAGAGGAAAAAGAGGGGGGTTGAAAGGAGAGGGAATGACTGAGAGTGAGAGGGGTGGGAGGAGGGAGAATGGGGAAGCAGGGAGAAGTTTCGAAGGGTAGGGAGAAAGAGAAGAAAGTGGGAGGAAGGGAGAGTGTGTGAAGGGATTAGGATGGGAAAGGAATAGGTGAGGAGGGAAGGGGGAAGGGTGAGAGGGAGGGCAAGAGAGGGGGAGAGGTTGGTAGGGAGAATGAGAGGAGGAAAGAGAGGGGAGGGTGGGGATGGAGTGGAGGAGTGAGCGAGACCTGCGAGGAGAGAGAGAGAGAAAAAAAAGGTATTTCGAAAAGTCGATTGCATATCATTTCTCGAAGAGCTTACGCAAATAGAGGAAAAGGAAGGAAAAAAAATAGAAAAAAAACATAAGCACATAACACAATAGGCGCTTACAATAATCTTAGTACTGAACAAACACTTTACTAAATAAGACAAAGAAAATATCCCCACGTACCCCCTACGTGGAAACAAAACAACCCTGAACAAACAATTCACGAACCGAGAACAAAGCAAAACACGAGCGGCGCGATTGGGAACTAATCCTTGTGAACAAAGATATTTCCTGTGAACAACCCGCGCGCCCGGCCTTGGCCCTTCGTGAACCTTTTTCCTGTCTCTCTCTCTCTCTCTCTGTCTGTCTGTCTGTCTCTCTGTCTGTCTGTTTTTGGCTCTCTATCTCTGTCTGTCTGTCTGTATGTATGCATGCCCCCCCTCTCTCTCACACACACACAAACACACACACACACGAACCCTGAATCACATCATTAAGTCCAAAATCAGAAAAAAACGAAAGATCTTGTCGGGAGAGAAAAAAAAGAGAAAAATCAACGGAGAAGAAAAGGGAGAAAAATAACGAAAAAAGAGAGAGAAAGAAAAAACATAAAGAGGAAGGAGAAAATCGGAAGCGGACTGCGATGTCGACGACCACATGCATGGTGCAGAACCCGCGAGAACCAGCGGCTCGTGGCAGCTGTCTTTTTTTTTTTTTTTTTTTTTTTTTGGGGGGGGGTCTGGATAGGGGGGGGGTGCAGGCTGTTCTCGAGGAAAGGCAATGGCAGAGGGGAATGGGAAGGGGAAGAGAGAGACTGAGAAGGAGAGAGAGGAAGGAGGCAAGGAGAGGGAGTGGTAGAAAGAGAAGAGGAGAACATCTTCTCTCTCTAACTCTGTCTGTCTGTCTGTCTGTCTCTCTGTCTGTCTGTTTTTGGCTCTCTATCTGTCTGTCTGTCTGTATGTATGCATGCCCCCCCCCTCTCTCTCACACACACACACACAAACACACACACACACGAACCCTGAATCACATCATTAAGTCCAAAATCAGAAAAAAACGAAAGATCTTGTCGGGAGAGAAAAAAAAAGAGAAAAATCAACGGAGAAGAAAAGGGAGAAAAATAACGAAAAAAGAGAGAGAAAGAAAACATAAAGAGGAAGGAGAAAATCGGAAAGCGGACTGCGATGTCGACGACCACATGCATGGTGCAGAACCGCGAGAACCAGCGGCTCGTGGCAGCTGTCTTTTTTTTTTTTTTTTTTTTTTTTTTTGGGGGGGGGTCTGGATAGGGGGGGGGGGTGCAGGCTGTTCTCGAGGAAGGGCCAATGGCAGAGGGGAATGGGAAGGGAAGAGAGAGACTGAGAAGGAGAGAGAGGAAAGGAGGCAAGGAGAGGGAGTGGTAGAAAGAGAAGAGGAAGAACATTAGAAAGAGAAAGGAAGAGAGGGAGGGAGGAGGGAGAAGGAGAGGGAGATAGAGGAAAAGAGAGCGCAAATAGAGAAGAGAGAGTAAATGAGAGAGGAAGAAAGAGGGAGAGAAAATGAGAAAGCATAAGCGAGAGAAAGAGCGAAATGAGGGGAGAGGCATGGAGGGAAAGAAGGAGGAAGTGAAGGAGGGCTGGAGGGAAGGAAAGGGCAAGAGAAGGGGAGAGAAAATGCTTCTTAAGTACACATTTCTTTCCAGCGACGTATTGAGTACTTAAATATGGCTCGAAGCTGAATAATCTTTCGAAAATAATTTTAAAAGTAAACAGAGGAAATTAATATCAGGTAGAATAGTGCGTCATAAATAATTACTGTACATCAAACATACACACACGCATTCATACACATGCGCTCACGCTCACGCATACATACATCTATATATACATACCCGCACGCACACAGACAAACGATATAATGAAACTTATTGAGAGGCAAAATAAATTGAAACATGATTTATATAAATAAAGCCATCACGCAGATAGAGAGTCAAAAAGAAAAAAAAAAAAGAAAAAAGAAAAAGAAATGGGAAAGGAAAAAGAATAAGCAAAGAACTGAACAACGAACAGAAGTGAGTAAAGCAAGATAAAGCAAGAAATAAACAAAGAAAGGTAACAAGGACAAAAAATAAAACAAAGAAGGAATAAACGTAACAAGATAGATAAAGCAAGACGGAACGAAAAGGGAAAGGGCAGGAACGCAAATAGGGAGAAGACATAGAAGAGGAAGAGGAGAAGGTGAGACATTAGAAGGAAAATAAAAGAGAAGAGACAAAGAGAAAATTAAGCAAGAGCAAGATAACTGAACAGCGAAGTAACGGAAAAGAGGCAAAAAAGGGAAAGTAAACAGAAAAGTAAAGAGAGAACAAGAGAAGTGAACTGAGGAGAAAAAATGGAAAGAAAAAAAAGGCGTGAATAAGAGCAGTGAACAAGACAGACATGAGTCGGAAAACAAACAAATTATAATAATGAATAGATAAACAAATAAATAAAATGAAGAAAACATCAAGGTGAACCTCGACGAAAATAAAGGAAAAGCAGAACGAGAGAGCAAAGTCGAGACAGACCAGAGAGCCGAAACACATGCCGCCCGTCTCTCGGCCTCCACGCCCGCCAGCCCCCGTCCTCGGCCTCCACGCCGCGCAGCACCGCCCGTCCCCTCGGCTCACGCCGCCAGCCCGCCGTTCGGCCGGTCCTCCTCCACGCCCGCCAGCCCGCCCGTGCCCTCGCCTCCCACGCCCGCCAGCCCGCCCGTCCCTCGGCCTCCACGCCCGCCAGCCCGCGCCCTCCGCTACGCCCGCCAGCCGCCGTCCCGCCTCCACGCCCCGCCTCCACGCCCGCCCCGCCGTCCACGCCCGCCAAGCCCGCCAGCCCGCCGTCCCTGCGGCGCTCCACGGCCCGCCAGCCCGCCCTTCGTCTCTCGCCCTGCCGCTCGCTCGCCCGTCCCTCCACGCCCGCCGTCCTCGGCTCCGCCCTGCCAGCCACCGCGCGTCCCTCCACGCCCGGCCTCGCACGCCCGCCAGCCCGCCCGTCTCGGCCTACTCTCACGCCCGCCAGATCCGCTCCGTCCTCGGCCTCTCACGCCCGCCAGCCAGCCGCGTCCCTCGCCCTCCAGCGCCCGCCGCTCCCTCGGCTCTTCCACGCCCGCCCGTCCCTCGCCCTCCCACGCCGCACCGTCCTCCGGCCTCCACGCCCGCCAGCCCGCCGTCCCTCGGCCTCCCACGCGCGCCGCCCGCCAGCCCGCCCGTCCCGTCGCCTCCACGCACGCCGCCGTCCTCGGCTCTCCTGGCCTCTGGCCCGCCAGCCCGCCGTCCCTCGCCTCCACGCCCGCCGCCCCGCCTCGGCCTCCACGCCGCCGTCTTCTCCATCCACACGCCCTCCGCTCCACGCCCGCCCCCGCCCGTCCCGTCGCCGCCCGCCGCCCGCCCGTCCTCGGCCTCCACGCGCCCGCCCGGTCCCTCGGCACGCCCGCCCGTCCTCGGCCTCCACGCCCGCCAGCCGTTCCCTCGGCGGCCACGCCCGCCCCGTCCCTCGGCTCCACGCCCGCCAGCCCGCCCGTCCCTCGGCCTCCCCGGCCGCCCGTATCCTCCCGCACTCGTCCCGTCCCATTTCGGCCCTCCAATCTCGTCTCCAAGTCACGTAACGGATCTCCCATCGGCCTCACATGTCCCGCCCGTCACTCGGCACTCTCCGACGCCGCCCGTCCCTCTGCCTCCACGCCCGCCCGTCCCTCGGCCTCCACGCCCGCCCGTCCCTCGGCCTCCACGCCCGCCAGCCCGCCCGTCCCTCGGCCTCCAACTGCCCGCTCCCCTCGGGCTCCACGCCCGCCGTCCCTCGGCCACGCCCGGCCCGTCCCGTCCACGCGCCTCCACGCCCGCCCGCCCGCCCGTCCCTCGGCCTCCTCCCTCGGGCTCACGCCCGCCCGGGCCGTCGGCCCCAGCCCGCCGTCCCTCGGCCTCCGCTCCCTCGGCCTCCCCGCCCCCCCCCTCTCGCTTCCACGCCCGTCCCTCGCCTCAGGGACGCCACAGCCCGTCGGGTACGGCCTCCACGCCCGCCTCCGTCCGGCTCGCCTCGCCAC